GCTACGAGACCTTTCAGCACCAGCTGCCCGTCGATTACCCTCGCCTGACCTGCAGGGTAACCAAAGCCGCATGTTCGCTAATGACGGTTTGCATCACCCGATGCGACATCGAGCACTTCTCCCAAGCTCGTTACAGCTGCGATGATAGGAGAAAGTCATAGAGTCATGCTCCGCAGGATCGTGCCTGCAATCGGAGTCTTGCAGTTGCCATCCAATGCCGCCAGGAATGCTCGCTCGCAAGTGACGGCCTGACACTCCGAATCCTTGCGACCCCTCCGCTACGTTGCTGTGAACCAGACCAGGATCCACTAAACAGGCTACTTTTTCAGGCACAGATCGCGCCTGGAATGTGTCTGCATGAGACAAAGGCTTCAGGTAGTTGAGGACCCGGTCGTCGTCCGAGCGGCACTGGAAGCTGATTGCACCTGCAACACCATGCAAGCTACTGCAGTCTTCACTCAGCAGAATCCGAATCACGCCTTGTGCAATGGCAGGCAGCATCTCATCCCACTCGAGGACTTTGGTGGCATGCTCCTGGCGGCAGATTCCATGGCCTCTGGCTCGTGCAGAACTGCTGCGCTGGAGCACATGCTCGCAGTGTCCTCCATGCTCATCCGCTTGAGGCCAGCATACGCCAGGAATGTGCCTTTAACGTCTCCGCCCTGCAACTTTCTCAGCCTCTCAAACAAAGCACAAAGCTTTAATAAGCATTTGCACATCTGCACGGCAACTCTGCCAAAGCCTCGTCTGCACGTTGCCCCGGAAGTTTACACACTTCACGTTTGGATTTTTGCTATAGATCTGAGCTTGTCGTCGAAGTGAAGCGGTGCCAATGAGACTGCCATCCGGAAAGTCTTCAATGCTCGTGATAGCTGGATCGCCACTGATCAGAACATCCCTCGTGTCCTGTGGTTCCAGTTCATCTGGCAAAGAGTGTGACACAAAGAATGGCAGCAACGACTGTGCGAGACGAGAGCCAGCGTCCTCTCTAGGAAGCATTGTGCAAAGCTCGGTGTCCGGAATCAGCTCGGTGGGAACGTCCTTGGTGGAGTGCACACAGAAGTCGACCTCCTTCGAGGCGAGCGCGACGTCAAGCTCGCGTGTGAAGAGACCCTTGCCACCGATCTCTGCCAAGGAAATCTCCAGGCGCTGGTCCCCGGTGGTTGAGATGATCCGCACCTCCACTGCCTCATCTGCGGCCAGTTCCTCGAAGGCCTGCGCATCCCCCACGTCCCGGTTCTAGCTAAGCCGTGCAGACACAAGCACACGACATCTCTCATGCCTCCCCCAGACGACGTTTGGCTTCGTATGCCTGGGCCAAGGCCAGTGGTGAGCCTCGTGTGCCCAGCGTCAGCAGGGGACCTGTCAGAGGCGCTCCACACCCCGAAAGTGCTGCAAAAAAAAGCCGCAGAAACCATGTAAAACCCCGAAGAATGCCCATGGAAAACACCGCCTTCGGCATGGCGGGCCACGGAGCGCCGAGAGGGCCTCGTCGCTGCGCCCACCATGACGCCACCAACCAAAGTGCAGGCCACTGGCGCCAGGGCGCCTGCATAAAGAAGCCGATACTGCGCAACCCATACAGCATCTCACAGCCTCCCGCAGTCCTCCTTGTGCTGCCGGCCGAGAGTGGTGGGTATGCGTCGCTGGCAGCGCGCGATCAGCCATCGTCTCCGCCCCGCGCATCACGGCGAATCCATTGCTTTTGCTGTGGGGGGCAATGGTCCAAACCAAAGCTCCGCAACACCCAGCAGCCGCTACTTTCATGTTGCTCGGGCGGCTTGCCATGGCAACTGCTCTATCTACGGCGAAGCCGTCAAAACTTGGGCACGAGCCACTTCGAGACAAGCAAGACATCGAAGCATGCTGTTTTTCGACGGACATGACTTCTCCCTTGTTGATTCCCTCAGGCTGTCCATGTGTGGTTCGCTGGGCGCAAGGCGCTCTTGGCTTCTCCATGATGCTCTGCATCTTGCGCTGGAACTCTTCCTCGCGCCGTCTTCCTAAGTCGTGCTGCCAGCTCCGAGCGCAATCTGACTGCAATCTGTGTCTGCAACATGTGGCTTCTGCAGGCATGAGGGTCACTTCAAGAAAACAAACTTTCGCTTCAACACACAGCCACCCAGAACCGCCCTTGACTGGCAAACTTCGGTCGCCAGCAATCCCGTGCAACCCCTCCATGAACCTTCCTGAGGCCTGCACTCTCCTCTGCCCTCCTTTTCAACTCCTCTACATGCCGCTGCCTTGCTTCAGGCTGCCATGAGCAGATCACTTGCATCCCTGTCTCTCTCAGATTGGGGTGCGGACTCCTCCTCAGCCTCACGGGCAACGAGGTCCTTCACCTCCTGCAATCAACTAAGTAACGGACAGTAGCCACTATGAGAGCGGTTAAACAACACCCTGCCAGTCCTGAATCTGTCTGCCCACCTGTCTCTGCGGTGCCTCCTTCGAAGTGCATCTACAGTCTTTTAGGAACCGCATGCACTCTCACACAGATGCTCTGGACGGGACATGGCACATGAACACAGCACTGGGTCTCTCCTCACGCCGATCACCGGGCTCATCCCGCCGGGTTTCCCGGCGGTCATCTCTTCGATCGTCCCTACGATCCTCCCGTCGATCGTCACGGCGATCATCCCGACGCTCGTCGCGTCGCTCATCGCGTCGCTCATCACGACGATCCTCGCGACGATCTTCGCGACGATCTTCCCGACGATCTTCCCGACGATCTTCACGACGATCATCAAGCCTGATGGATTCATCACAGCGCGTCCAATGCCACAGGAGCATGGCATGATTCTGCCATATTCTGCCTCTCTGGCCTATCTTCTCGTCGTTCGTCACGCCTCCTCAGACTCGAGATCCCAAAAGCCTTTCGCGCCTGCCTGGATCCTGCTGGGCTCTGTGCTCTGCCGGCTCTCCGCGCCGTGCAGGTGTAGGGGCCTCCTCACGGCGACGCCTTGGCAACGCTTCGCCGTTTCGTCGACGCGTTGAATTCCCTGCACTGGGATCCAGACTCCTCCTCCTCCTTCTTCTGCTGCTCCTCCCTCCGAGCACGCTCTTGCCGTTCTTGCCGTCGACGGTTATATGCCTTGGCAATGCACCGGGACCACAACTGTTCCAGTCTTTTTGGGAATCTTGGCCACCAACGTCAACGAAGTAGGCATGCGAGTTGCTGGTAGCTGTTGCCTAGATATGTTTACAGCCACATCACTCGCACGAAGAGGAACATCATTCTGAGTTTGCAGCAATGCTCGGCTCCTCTTTGGGTGGCTGCGAGCCTGCAATCGGAGGCGGCAAAGCGCAAGAAGTGCAAAGCTGCAGTCTGGGTGTAACACTTTCCTTCTGGCCACGCCTCAGTACCCGGATCGAGCAAACTCAGGGCAACGCTCAACTGACAGTTCCTGATAGGTCGTCCAAGCTGTCTGAGCTGCCTGCTCATCCCTAGATTGAAGCCGTGGTCGGGAGGTGGGGGGCCTTGGAACTGAACGTTCACAGAGCGATGTTCTTGGGGGTTCCTTGGCACAGGACTCTTCCTCTTGAGCCCGTCTCTGCCCTGCAACTGAAATCGCAGAAGTCAAGGATCGAATCCTTCCCCGCCCCGGTGCTGCCCTGCTGGCGCGGCCTTCGGGTTCTTGCTCAGGCGGCCTTTTCGCTGCCTGCAGACCCTAGCTTTTTAGCGACTAGACTAAACGTGCTTCAAAAGCAACGACTACACATGAGCGAAACAGCTGCAGCAGCAGCAGCAGCAGCGGTTGCAGCGCGACCGACACGAAAATCTTTCGCAGGACGATCTGCTTGCGGCTTTGCACCCGGTTCTACATGTCTTCCCTTGCTGGGGCCTTGAACTTGCGCGCGTGTGGTTGATTGGTCTCAGCATGGTGTGACTGCTCGCGTGGCAAATCTGTTTCTTGGGATGGGGGCATTTTGGATGATGCCGTCCGAACGCCTCATCCTTCTTGTTTCGGGCCATGCTTGGTCACTTCGGTTCAGCAACCTTCTGCTTTTGCTGTCGGCTGCGGCTGCTTGGGTCCCAAAGTGCGTCAAGACTGAAGTACAAAACATTCTTTGGCTACATCTACAGCGAGTTGGCACGTGAGTATCTTATGCTTGCGTGTATATGAATGTACATACACATGTACATAAACATACTAGTGCGCAAATGCAGATGCATACACGTCTTTTTGCAAATACATGTCCAACCATATACATAGACATGTACATGTATATATACATCTGTATGATAAATGGGACAATAATCAAGGCATGAACAGCTTTAGGCAAAACTCTTAATTGAGCACGTGTATGAATATAGGTGTATGTATGAGGTGTAGGTCGAATCAGGGGGAGACCACTGCTATGATCAATTCTTTCTACTGCGACCATGCCCACGTTTATCGCTTCACGTCATGGTTTCACTTCCCTGACTTTGTTGACCACCTGTTGTTGCTCGAGGCCTCATTCCTCAGAAGCCCAGTGACCTGTCTGACCATGTACGGGTCTTATGCCTGGGGCCAGAAAAAAATGTTGGCAAGTGAGTGAATGTCACGGTCTCTGATTCAACCCTCTTTGGTCTCTGATTCGACCCCGCTTCGTCTCTGAGTCCAAGCGGCCTGATTCCGGGGAGACTGGTGTCTGAAACCGCTCTTGCGGTCTCTGATTCGCAGCCCCCGGTCTCTAAGTCTGGCTTTCTGGTCTCTGATTGGACCCTCCGCGTCTCTGATTCGTAGTTACTCTGTAAGTATGTATGTATGTATGTATGTATGTATGTATGTATGTATGTTTGTATGTATGTGTGTCCATCCATATTTATATATATATATATGTGACATGTGCATGCTTACTTGTTTACTCCTAGATGTTTTTGTATTGCTCCTGCCTTTATTTGCTATGCCTACCACCTGGTTTTGCTGTCGGCTGTTCTCCGACTTGTTGAGATTCGTCAAGAAAACAAAACCTTGATGTTGGGCTTCAGTCTTCTTCGCGAGTGTTGTTCTGTGTTAGCGAAGGCGTAGTTGCTTTTGCATCGGTGACTCCATCTGAACCGTCATGCCAAAAGGGTTCTGTTCTTGCAACTGTAGCAACTGTAGCTCGTCACCCTGGCTTTTCCTATCTCGGTTCTGTCTACAGTATAACATGTAGAGTCTACAAGCATAACAGTATAAAAAGACTATGCATGAGCATGTCATGTGTTCACCGCCGGTGTAGAATCGACCGGGGCCTCCCTCGTACGGCTCCGCGCCGCAGAGGGGCTAGGCTCTCCTGTCAGGCCCAGCGTTCATCAGCATCCCCTCACAATGCTGAACATCACACCCACCCCTTTATGCCGTCCGTGCGAGACCTGCCTTCAGGAGGAGGCGACGGTGCCGAACCTTAGCTGAAGTAGGATGGAAACAACTGGAACCGGACTACTCGCGCAGATACAGCTGAAAAGAAGGGAATGTTAAACCTAGGGCTCGAACGCATGGCAGAGACGGTGAAGCTGGGGTCGATATCGCCGTCATGCGGGACATTCCACTCCGAAGCAGGTGGAGTGCCAGCCGTCCGGCTCGGGTGATAGGCCCAAACCTGCACAGGAAGCCGTAGAAAGCCCACCACGGGCCCTGTGCTAGCACTTCTGAGTCAGGGCCTGGTCACCGCCCACGTTCGGACCAAACCACCAGCCACAGAGCTCTGGACCTAAGCCGAAAGAAGTAAGTAGTACCTGTCGTGAACAGTCGTCAACACTGCGGCGGCTGCCGTCCCGCTCATCCCAGAAATAGATCAGGACATCTAGCCCTGACAACATGCGGCGCGGAATCAGGTAAAACAGGGCAGCCATGTCCACTGCGTGATGGCCTCTAGACTTTTCCCTTTTCTTGTACACCACCTTCCCGTGGTTGAGGCTGTCTGGCATGTAGACACCAGCCTCAAAACAGCTTACTGAAGATGCGGGATGTGGGCACAAGGAACTGATCCACGTTCGACAAATCTTGAACTTCTGCTTCTTTCCACATCACCACAGCCAACCTGTCGCTGAAACGGATGTTGCTGCCAGAATTTGACCAAGCAGCAATGATCGCGCTGATGGTCTCGTTCTGACAGCCACTCACAGTCAAAGGTGGAGCAACCACCTGCACCCGACAGGAGCTGGTAATGAAAAACAAAAGAGAACAGGATCACCAAGGACGCAAACAAAAACACAAGAACAAAAAGACGAAGCCAAACAATATTAGCGGTGGGAGTAGCAGTCGTCGTCGTGTTGGCAGTGGTAGTAGTAGTTTCAGCAGTAGTGGCTGTGGCTGTGACAGTGGTAGTTCTAGTGGTGTAGGTAGTGGTGGTAGTTGGACAGTAGTAGGACAGTAGCAGAGCAATAGTGGGAGCAGTGGTCGTAGTAGTAGCAGCAGCAGGCCTAGCCGTCGTAGCAGTAGTAGTAGTAGTAGTAGTAGCAGCAGGAGTAGTAGTAATAGTAGTAGTAGTAGTAGTAGTAGCAGCAGCAGCAGCAGCACCTACCTGACAACTACCCACGTACTACTCCCGACTACTACCGACGACAACCTGCTGCTGCTGCTGCTGCTGCTGCTACTACTACTACTACTACTACTACTACTAGTACTACTAGCACCACTAGTACTACTTCCTCTACTTCGTCTACGCTTGCGACTACGAACACGACTACGAATACGACTACGACTACCGCCACGACGGCATGTCGACGATGACGTAGCACATGGCATTTATGGTTGTTCTTTGGGTGCATGTCATCATCCGACAAACCTCTCGAGGCCCAACAGTGCATGAAATCTGCACAGTCACCGAAAAAACATTAAAACATGTCAGACACTCATGCAGCGCAACCCGGACTTTCGCAGTCTCTGACTCTTACAGTAGTTACTAGTGGTTTGCGTCTCTGCCGTCGGAATGATTTGTGCACATCGCCATTGTGTGCTTCTACTGCGGACGGCATGCACATGAGCGGGCAGCAAAAGGACAAGCGTCGCCTCGTCCTCCTCTCGACCTCGACTCCATGGACCACGGCCGGACTCCCGACCGGAGTCTCGGCCGTAGCCTCGGTGGTCGTTCTGGTCGCCTGCCGCCCAAATCTTTGAGGCTCTGTGTCCTCCAATCATTTCAGTTACAAACGGACGCGCCTTTGGCCCGCTCCGGACGGGCTGGCGGATCCCTACGGTCCTGGGCGACACGAGGTGAGGTGAAGAGCTTTCTTGGATTCTGCGGCTTCTTGTCTTTCCCTCGCCTCCTCCTCCTCACCGCGGCCTCCGCGGCCCCAGCGGCTGCGGCCATACCCGCGGTCTCCTTCCAAACGTGCAATCAGACATGCAAGACACAACTGAGCCAGGCTAACCACCCATCTTAGCAAACTGGCGCAAACGAGGACAGCAAGTCGTCCCTGTGTTCCTCGGCGGTCGCCCATCCAACCTTGCACAAATGTATCGAAGATTACGAGAGCCGACGAACACTGCCTCTTCAATGCCAGTCATTCAAAGCATCACCACGCGAGCTTGCAAATAAAAAATTCTGAATGCGCAGCATCATGCCCACTTGCAATGAAAGGCTTGAACAATCTTGGCTTAAGTCATACATCATAGAATCAACATCGCTCTCGTGCTTGCGGTGCGATGCAAGACTGAATGCTTCCTGCCACCAGTGCCGCAGTCTTCCATGCAAGTGCAGCGAGATTGCTTACTCCGGAAAGCCTCGCGGCTGGGGACGATGGGCCCGAGATGCACGCTGAAGTTTGAGGCGAGACAGCAGCGGTGTGGGCAAATGCAATAAAAAGCATGGAGCTTTACAAGGCCACTTCAACTTCGAGGACAACTACAACGCTTCTTCCTACATGAAAGTTCTACTTGGACCTGGCTGGTGCCAAGAGCGTCGAGCGGCAGGCTCGTCGCTTGAGCATCGCAGCAGACCGCTTTGGATCCTGCATGGAATCACATCATTCAGGCATGGCTGTCTTCAGCACATGCTTGCAACGTTCATCTGACTGCAGGGCAGCTCGTGCTGCTTACCGACATGCCTTCTCCCAGTATTGCAGAGTCCGGTACATGGTGGACAGTTCTTGAAGTATCCTGGGGCGCACTCTCAGCTTCAGTCTTTCCAAGTCTACTCGGTCTACCACCACCAACAGCTCCTGACATGTTCTGTGACCCATCCGTCTAAGAGGAAGTAGTCCAGAGCATGGGCGAAGAAGTGATTGCCCAGCTTGAAGATCTGACGAAAAGTGACTCGTTGTCGGGGAAACCGCAGCCGTGCACAATTAGAAACCCTCGCGGAGCTGATCATATGACAAACATACATACAGAGAGACTTTCTCGACGCTTGAAGCCTCGCGCGCAGCAGCGAACGACACACCGATGCAGGACGGCGACATGGGCCTGCCGCACTGCTCTTCCGGGTCCGAAAATGGCAGCAAGTCTGGCTGAGGTACCGACCGTTCTTCCCCTTGCAGGGATCACTAAGTTCGTTGCTAGCATGAATTTTAGGTTCACGAGTCCATACAACTTACAACAAGCCTAGTCGTGCTTGGCGCCGTGTGCATCCGTACGCAACTCTCACTAGCAGACACTTCCTGCCTTCAGCTGCCAAGAGCTTGTGCGGCCCTCGCTGCTCCAAGAATAAGGCGTTTGCTCTGCCTGGTACTGGCTCTACTTTGGCTGGGTAGAATCGCAGCACCAATCTCTGGCCGTCTTGCTGCTCAGGACCCTGCGGATTCTTTGCTGGGTGTGCGCGTGTAGGAGCCTATCAGTACAACGGATTCTTCGTGTCTGCAATCTTGACCTGTTTTGTGAACAAGCCGGACAATAACCTATCATACCTGCAGCATCACAGACTCCGCTCGCAAAGCGCATGTTTACACACGCACTGTTGCTTCAGTTCATTAACACAGCGACGACACCAACAAGAGCCAAAGTCCGTGTAAGACTAAGCCACTGAGCGTATCCCGCTCCCATGATTGAAGGGTTCACATGTTTGGGTCTCAATGCCTGAAGTGCACAGGAAGGTGGATCCTGTCGTCCGGCCCAAGGATAAGCCACTGCTCCTTCACAGCAAGGAAACTGCATCTGACATCGACTCGACATGCGCACACACACACACACTCTCCTCTTGATGACTGCCTTCTGTCATGGCCTGGATATGTCACTTTGGCTTCAAAGAGTTGCCGTGAGGCTGCGAAAGCGGAGAGAGACCCCGCATCTGCCACAGTGGGCCTCGTGCTCCTCCGCCATGATGTTGTCTTGGGCCTCGTCATCTTCCGGATGGACGACCTGCGCAAGCGAGGACACGTGTACAGTAAGATGCGAGGCATGCGAGGCGCGGCGAGGCCTCGGGGAAGATGTCGTCCCAGTGGATGGGTCCGGTACCGCCTTCTGGAGGGCGCTCCACCCGGTCTGCCGACACGCGAAAGCTGAGCTGGGTGCCCTGAGGCAGCGGGACAAACCCAGTGCCGTCCTGTAGTTGCACTCACTATTCTACGAATCACAGATTTTTGGTGACATCAAGATTTGACTGATAGTAAATACGGTCAGACTGTCGGGAAAGCATTGGCAGCAAAACGACACTGAATGACACTGATTACAGCCTGACGATGTGCTGCGCCTCATCTGAAACGGTGTGTTCCTCCGCCTCTTTCTTGCGCTCACCACGCCAGACCTGATCTACTCTCGATTCGATGTTCGATGGAGGTGACCAGGTTGCGAGGGACGAGTGCCTCTTCCCATGCATCTGGTCTTTCAGCACATGCCCTGGCGAACTTGAGACGGGTTGCGTACCTTGCGATCATGCTCGAAACAACACCCGATCGGATACAACAAGCTAGTCAGAGCTGCTTCCTTACTGTCGGTTATATCGTGTCCTGGAACTTCTTTTGCGACCTTTTTCCCTCTGATTGGCTTGACCACCATTTACGACTCAGCGGAAGCTGCACACCATCGCACATGAAACTCGAGTTTCTCTATGACATGACACTATGTGCTCATATCATCATTGGATCAGTATCAGCTATCAGTTTCATTGCCCATTTCCAATTGAAAAAAGGAAAGCTCTAGAACCTGCGAATGTCAAACCTGAGACAAGAGGAACAAAGTGAAGAGGGCTCAAATGTACACTGGACGAAACTTGGCTGGATTACTCTTTGCATACTCCTATGCAGCACTCTTTCAACAGCTGGAAGTCAATTGGCCACCGAACGTTGCCTTACGTGGACGGCCGGTGCTAGCGGCACCGGCCGTCCTGACCTGTGCTTCTGTTGTCCAGTCCATGTGTCAGCGCTCATTCAATTGCAAGAGCCCTTTCACCACCAAAAACATGTTTTCCGTCAGAAATCGAATTGCATGTCCTTTACAAGGTCAGACTTCTTGTGACAGCGACAGAGCCAGCACAAACTAGCTGCCTGTCACAAAAGCGAGATCCTTAATGGAATGTCCAGGCAGACAAATCCGAGCCACGCTGCATGTTTCCGATGTCGCGCATGCACTCGGCCTTGAGCTCTGTGATGTTCTCGGGCTCTGAGCCCACGATCTCTCCACCACGCTCACACATGACCAGCGCCGAATGCAGCAAATACTCCTTAAATGTTCAAGCGCAAAAGACTGCTGTCACGGGGGCACTCTCGGAGCACGCTATGTCGCTTTGCAGTGTCGGCTTTGTGCCACCGCGAATCGGCAGTCCAGAACATGCCATCGTTGATGAAGAAGTCAGACAAGGCACAGCAGTTCCTGGTCAGGACAAGGAAGTAGTCCGTGCAGAATTCTTGCTTATGCACACACACGGAAGGAGGACAAGTTTGAACCAGCTTGCTGCCTTGCCTGATCCAGTCCTTTGCATCGAAAGGGTCTCGCTCAGAGATTTCTTGGCTGCGCAAGCCAAGCGAATTCGACTTCAGGGACCAGGGCACAGTCAGCAAACGAATCGGCATGCTGCCCATTCGAGGCTCTTTACGGAGCTCGGCATCCCAGTGTACAAGGCGAACAAAAATCAAACGTTGTAACCCATGAATATGCACAAAAGAAAAGCTGCGAGGCTCCACTCGGAAGAAGGATAACTTTACTAGTTAATTGAGTCTCAAGGACACTCAAGGGCCAGATCGAGTGTTAAACAGCCATTCAGACATGCAGCGATGAACCATTTGGCGAGGGCAGTCTGCGATGTTGGCAATTGGGACCATGAGCTCGCTCAATTATGCAAAGCATGAAGGCTTGAACTTGGCAAATGATAAGCAAGGAAAATGCATCCCCGAACAACCATGACTGCAGTTGCTGGTTCTCCCAGCTACCAGTGCTGGTACCGCTACTCTGCCTTCCTTACTTATTTAGGGCAATCGGTTGTTGATCACAAGCAATCACCCATCCTAGTCCTAAATATCGACGTAAGACATATCCCAGTTACTCAGTTCGAGCCGGATGACACAATTCTGGAGTCTATCGAATGTGGCCCCCCACCTCGAGCTGGCGACTCATGGTCTCGGCGCAAAACCGTGCTGAAAGAGCTGGCTTCTGCAGCGCTCCATAGGCCTGCGCCAAGTAAAACCTGACAGATCAGGCCGATGGAGAGCCAGAATTGCACACGCGCACACGCACCCACAAACCAGCGTAACGAAGCACTCGTCTGCAAGCCAAGCGACATTGTCATCGTGTAATTGTTTTCGCACCGTTCTTCACAAGCATCTCGTACATGCTGCGGCCGCCTCATGTACATCACCTGCGCCCTGCGCAGGAAGTTCATTCCTTCCTCGGTGGACGACACATGACCATCCAACATGACAAGGAGACAAACAGACGAAACAAACTAAGCATTCCGCTTTGTGGCCTCCACGATTGCACCAGAGCATGCCCAGCTGATTGAAGACATCCTGACATGCAACGCAGAAGAGGTGGTGGACGTGACGATCTTCAATCTTCCCTCTATTGTGAGTTGACCCTAGGCGCTGCACAGTACGACATCCCAATATGGGCAGACCAGAGCCTGGATGTAACAGAACGGCTCGGGTTCCAGTCGCAACGGCGATCGCAGGTAGCGCTCCAAGGATCGGATGAAGCACTTCTCAGCCTGAGGGACCTGCTGTGCAGGAAAATGTGGGCCTCAATGATAACCAGGTCTGCCCCCTGCCTCCTCACAGAAGTAGCAGTTTTTCCCCAGGAACAGTAAGAGCCTCCAAGGCATTCTGTCTGCAAATCCAAGATCTCTCTGCGGATCTACACAACTCCAGCTTCAGCAAAGCTCACAGCATAGCCCATGCAACCGCTTCCTGGCCTGGCAACAACTTCGCGTCCACGATCGGCAGTTTGGATAGAAGCTTCCTCCTCAACGAGTTTCTCCACATTCTTGACCTTGGGAGCACAGACAAACCTAAAGAGATGATTATGAGTCAATGGGTGTCCGAGTGTCTCGTATTTTTTGACATGCCATTGCGACAATGAAAGATTAGTGCACCAGGCCTGATCCTGATGAAGCGTGCGGCACAAGGCATGGCAAGTGCAAAGAATACAACCAGAAATACACTGATGCTGGCAATCAGAAGCATTCGGTAGGCCGGGCTACGGCAATCTCCAGCATCTCCCGGGCAACATACTTGCTTTTGTAGGGGTTGTCTTCGGGATCCTGCATGCGGCTATGCAGCATTCATCAACACCGATCAGCGTGTTAAAAGAACCGAGCCTGGGCAGTCCACAGGTCATCGTATTTCTTGAGCGTCTGATCCACATCACTTGCCAAGAAAGTCCTTAGCTCGAAATGTTCGAGGAAGCTTTGAACACAAACTTGTTGATGCACACTTGATCGAGTCCGGCTACATTTTCCAGATCTGAACCAAGCTTCTCCAACTTGCTCATTCCGGCTGCTGGTGGTTCGGCTTCTGACTTCCATGAAACCTGAATCACGGCAGCAGCACACGGTGGATGCTGAACAGCAGCACGAACGGAAGACACTTGCCGATCACCAACAAAAAGTGCGGCCTCAGAGACGAGTATCCCAATGTCACCATGAAAACATCATGTTGCCATTCAGCATGCTTGGTTGCAGGGGAACGTCACAAAGCTATGTTGATGGCAATCCCGGGACCCGACTGGAATGCTACATATGCACAAATGCAACTCCTCTCTGTCACTCAAGACTTTGCAGGATCAGCACGATACGTTGCCAAAAGGCATGTGTATATCAACCATGCTGAAACCTTGTTGTTGTCTGTATCTGAGCCATGGGTTCGTCCAGCACCGGATGGTGCACTTCCAGCAAAGGTAAACAAGCCATCGAATCAGTCGAATCACGCAACCAACTCCAAGATCTGGCGCACACACCGTCTGCACCTTGAGCTCTGCTGTTACGACTCATATCAGCAATCATTTTTGAACCATTATTGAATCACTATTGACCAAAAAAACAACAAAACATTTAAAAAAATTGAAAAAAAACAAAATGGTCTTACGCAAACTCTTGAACTCTGTCGAAAAATCTGAGAAGGTCGAAAAAAACGTTTTTTTGGTGCTGTTACCAAAACACCTCCATGGGCGCACTCTTTCTGTTAAAAAATTGTTACCTGGTCCGAAGATCTTTTAGAGGTTATCAGGAAAACTAAGTTGAACCTGAATCTTACACAAGAAGAAACACACACAGTATAGGGAAGTCTATGGGTACACATTGAACTTTGGGGTCGAAAAACGCTCAACTTCGCTCCAAAACGGTCACTTCGAGCAAGATACGCAACTGTCGTGCAACCTAAACTGCAAAAAGCTTCACAGTCGGTTAGCATCCAGAAATGGGCTCAGAGTTTGGAGTTGCTCGGATTGTCTCAATCCCGCATGAAACCGACCAGCAACGAAGTCGAACGACATTCCGAAATGGGCTTAGTTAGTTCGGAGTAGCTCGGAAATGCTCGGGTTCACAGTTGCTATGCTTGCTGTAAGACAGGAACTGGAAAGCCAACTTCCACATGAAGTCCATGTCTTGGATGGAAAGCACTCTGCGAGAAAATGGTTGACGGCCATGCACGCTCGTTTAATTTCGGAAGCTTTCGAAATGCCAAAGACGCCGCCATGTCCATAGAAGCCGAGAGTGCTGTACTTTTCATAAGCGTGCGGCCCAAT